TATATATATATATATATAATTCTTTATTAAAATAACACATGAGTATGCATAAATATATGATGCTAATTAAAATTTCCAAGGAGCAATGCTTATGGTAGTAAGATGGAATTATACCAACTCAAGATTGTACATAAAGTTAATTATAATAAACTATTTGGCCAATAATCCTTTAAGCATTTCAAAACAAAACAAAACAAAAGATGATCAACTATGAAATAAAATTCAATTATTATATACCACTTAGCATCTTGAAAGGTCCATTATTTTTGCAATATTATTCAGACAGATTTATTTTTCATTGCTTCACTTCACATGTTGCACTTGTATTGTAGTGGAAGCTTAATAATGAAAATTTGGTATGGCCCTAAAACAAATGAATTAATATGACCAACACCTTATCTTCATTATTATAAATAGGGAAGATGCTATGGTCCGTTACAAAACCATTCCATCGAAATTTGTAATCGTTAAATCAACTATCTCTAACGGTTACATAATGATTTAACAGTTACAAACTCCAACGGAATAGTTACATTTTCCCTAGAAATAGAACACCAAAAGACACTGGAACACTCCATGAAATAATTTGAGACGGCCACTCCCGTTGTTATAACTCGACCAGTACCCTTATATATTAAGGTAAAATACTTTTTCCCATCCGAACTATCACGATTTTGGCGCATCACCATATAAACTATTTTTTTTACAAACCACCATATGAACTATACGTGTTTGTCAATGTGCCCCCTAAACCAGATATAAAAGTGGTTTTGACTGAAAAAACTGTTTGGTCACTATATGTGCCCCTAAATACTTTTACAAACCACCATATGAACTATCACGGGTTTGTCAATGTGCCCCCTAAACCACTTTTATATCCGGTTTAGGGGGCATATTGACAAACCCGTATAGTTCATATGGTGGTTTGTAAAAAAAAATAGTTTATATGGTGATGCGCCAAAACCGTGATAGTTCGGATGAGAAAAAGTATTTTACCCTATATATTATGACGTTCAAAAACAATAACGGTACCCCTAAAAAAAAAATGGTGAAAATATACATGCATAAATTGATGGTATTTTTTATTTTTAATTTTATAACTTGTCAGTGTATAGAATAATAGTTATACCGTAACTAAGATTGATGTTATGTATGTCTGACGATTATACAATTATATTTTTTTTAATAATTATACATATTTCGAAACTGAATGTTAATACTAATATAATAATATAAATAAAAATATAATCCTTCATCATTTATATTTATTTTTGATAAAAATGTAATAACCATTCACCCACCTCACGTTTTGTCCGCTCCTACAATAATTTGTGGGAAAATACTAAAGTCCTAACGGGTTCTTTAATTTATTTTTTCAACCAATCAGATTACAACAATATATGCAGTTAATATACAACTTCCATGCAGTTAATATACAACTTCCATGTATCTAAGGTTAGTAATAATTGTGAATATCCAACTATATAAAATAAATTTATAGAATCACATTGTTACGGGATTGTAGCCGTCTCCTAATTTGTGTTATACTATTGGAAAAAACTACCGTCCCATCACATAATGGTTCTGTGATGGATTTTAGCAATAAATTATCTAAATAACTAACTCACATGTATATTCTAAAGGCTAACATTCTCACAGAACCATTTAGTGACATAGCATTTTCCTATACTTCCTCCTATTCATAATATTTGTCGTTTTGAAAAGTTGCACAGTTATTAAGAATATTTTTTTGTCAATAATAACATTATTTAATGAAGATAGAAATGAATGTTGTGAAAAAAAGTGAAGAGTGAATATGAAAAGATGTAATGTATTTATTAGTTAAATGAGGGTAATAATGAAAAAATAAGTACAAAAAATCCAAAACGACATTTATTTGGTAAATAATTGAAAAAATTAGAATGACATTTAAAAAAAAATAGGAGGGAGTACTATTTATTGGCTAGGTGAGATTATGTAAAATTCTATTAGCTTTTATAATATACTAGTACAGAGCCCGTGCGATGCACGGTGTGCACAATTTTAAGGTTATTTATCCAGCTTTTTAATTATATAAATGAAAAAAAAATGTACGGGATATATATAGTACGGGACTGTGCGAGACACGAAATATATTTATTTAGGGAATATTATATTATAAGATGGAATATTCAATAAAAAATTTATTATACGCAGTAAAATTATACAATAAAATAGTATTCGACAAAGAAACAATCATATATTATTAAAGACCTCCTTGTACATAGATATTAAATAATTTATTAGTAAAATAGTGTATAAATTGATTACAATAGCAAAACAACATGCTCACGGGATTAGTAAAAATACTTCATGGATTGAAGATTTAATGGAATTAAACATTTAAATGAATTCATTTAGATAATTCGAAATCAGATAATTCAAAAAACTTCCAACATTGTTTTGACTTTAATATATTACAACATGGGTATACTTTAAATATATTAATATTTAAGGAACTTTAAACAACATAGTTTTTAAAAAATTGTTTTAGGGAACTTTAAACAGCATATTTACGTCACCCATAAAACAAATTATATTTCAACAACATAGTTATAGTATTATTTAAGGAATTTCAAATAGCATTGTTAAATACTTACGTTCACCCATAAATTTTTTGTAAGTCGAAGGTAATTAATCTCGTGCTTTTTTTTTGTTTGTTTGTTAAATTTTTTTGACAAAACTGATGTCACGGATAAAACAATTAAATATTAAATAAATTAATTAAATAATATACTTTAGACAGCTATAGAATGCGGATAATACTCTGATGCCAAACAACGCATTCCAAAATTTGACTCAGATCCAGCAATCATATCCAAAATTTCATTAAAATAAATATTAAATAAAATACTTAAATAAGGAACTTTGAATCTGCCTTTTTTTAGTATGGATAGACTTTACATACAATTTTTGACTTCACCGTTTTTATGAATTTGTTTTGACTAAATCGATATTATTATGGAATAATACAAATAAATAAAGCCTTTTTATTCTAGTAAAGATTTTACTTACATTTTTTTTACTTATCGGATATAATGGGATTTTTTTTAAACCGATTTTATGGGATATAAGACTAATAAATAAATAAATAAATAAAATTCTAGATAGAAATAGCAATGCATTAATTACTTGACTTTTCAACCTACTAAATTTGGTAAATATGATACCTTATTATATAAGTAGATATAAATAAAATAATAAAATAAAATTATGGATAGAAATAACAATGCATTAATTACGTTGACTTTTTAACCTACTAAATTTGGTAAATAGAATATCTTATTATATAAGTATAGATTTTTATTGTTTTTGCCCACCTGATTTTATGAGATTTTTTATGTCAAGATAAGAATGATTAAAAATTAGAAGTTCAGCATAAATTTATAAGAAGGATTTTTTTATGAGATTTACGTACAAAATTTTTAATGTTAAGATTTATAAGAAGGATTTTTTTTATGTCAACTTGAATTATAAATGCATATATTACTACTTGATAAAATTAGAAGTTCATTAATTAAGTTTGACTTTTCTACCTACCATATTTAGTAAATAGGATCCCCTTTAATATAAGTATAGATACTAGAGAGATTCGAAATTCAACTATCAATTGCCCATACAAGTGCTCGTCCATTTATTTATTTTATCAATTTCAAAAAGAAAGTTGCTACCACGTGAATAAAGAAGATTGCGACTTTTGGATGCCTTGCACCTAATCCACAATTTTTTTTTTCTTTTCTTCTTTTTTTTTTTTAATTCACATGAATTTATGAATACAATTCGTCAATTATCACATCACAAAAACTTTTATAACAGACTTTACTACTTCTCAAAGAAAAAAAAAAAAAACTCGTAATTCACATAGGAATATTCATTTGGAGACGTATTCGATTCAACCAACAAGAACAATTAACCAAGGATTTTAAAAAAAAAAAAAAAACAAAAGCAAAGGAAAAAAAAAAAGCAAAATGAATAATTCGAATTACGTGGCCGGCCTAGTTCGGCCCGAACCCGGCCCGAATGGATTGACACCTCCACTGGAACTGGATGAGGCCGTACTGGAAGACGACGAGCCCGAAACAGAAAGTCGTTCAGCTAAGGCAGTCATCGCTCTCACCTGCCAATGGCAGAACCATAATTTTTGCTCTATTATTAGAAAAAGATAAATTATTCCTAAATTTAGAATTAATAAAAAATAAAAAATAGTTAAAAATTTCTGTTTGTTATACCTGCATCTCAAGCGCGGCTATGTAATCGGTGGCCTCCTCTAGGACCACCGGGAGAGGCTCTTTCCGGCAGCCGGGGACCAGCCGGCCTAGGACGCGCGCCTTGCGCTGTACCGCCGGCAGCGACTTGGACCTCAGGCCGGAGATCTTCAGCTTCGATTTCCTCCGCATCCGGCCGCTGCCGCCGCCGCCGCTGGTGACCACTGCTATCACTCGGTTCTGGCGCTTCGCGATGTTGTTCTTCTTCATGAACTTCAGCCTCAGCCTGCTCGTGAGGATAGCGCGGCTCCACCGCGTCCGTCCCCTTGCCGTCGCCGCCAGGACCCGGTCAGCCGCCTCGTGTACCCGCCTCGGGCCGGCGGCGGCGACGCCGCCTCCCTGACGGACTTGGCGCAGCGCCTGGAGCAGCTTCGACGAGTAGATTTGCTGTTGCGCGTCGGATCTCCACTCGATCGGCGAATTTTCCCGGTTTTCGATTGGATTTTGGCTCTGGCTTTGGATTTTCTTCCTTTTCCTCCTCCTAGCCGGCGATCGGTCGGAATTTACAGCCGGATTGGGAGACAGAAGCGGTGACGTCATATTCATGCCGTGGAGCTGCAGATTCAGGCGAATTTGAACAGAAAAGGCGAAGAAATGAATTTCAGATTCAGAAAAGTGCTGCTGCTTAAAGATTCAAAGAGGTATCGGATAAAATCAAATGAAAATCGAATCAAAGTAACTTCGAAATTAAAACAATGATTTCCAGTAATCAATTTATGCAATCAATCAAACTTCGTAAATAAATAAATTCAATTATCCAATTAAATTCGTCGGAAGGAAAAAAAAAAAAAAAAAAAAATCAAACGATAAACAAAAGCGGAAATCGTCACCTGATGAGAAGCTATTCTTCTTCTTCTTCGTCGTCTTCGTCTTCTTCTTCGATGTTGCTGTTGAATTTGAGAGGAAAATCAAACAGAGAAAAAAATAAAAATAAAAAAAACTTAAGAGAAATAAATGTGAGTGTACATAAATGTGAGTTGGGTTTTATAAAGGAAAAATGGTGGAGGCTGCACAAGGGAATCACGGGAAGGGGAGTGCACGCGTAGCCACAGCACATGCCACGCCCACGCACTTTGCTTATTTATATTATATTAATTATTTTTATATTATTCTTTTTGTTTTTTTCTTGTTTTTCTTTGGTATTAATAGGATTCGGTAGGAGTGCACCTATATATATACTAGTGGGCATGCGGCTGTGCACGCACAGCCGTATCCAATTTTATCTATAATTAAACGAAAATTTTTAGTATTTAATAACTGAAGTAAATGTAAAATTTCAGTATTTAGTAACTAATTTTATAACTATAATAAGAATAACTGAAACAATGATAAATGTTTGTTGATGTTTTTGCTTTCACAAACATTGATAATTTTCCAATGCCCAACTGGTAGTCTGAAGTGAGAAATGAGAACAAAAACGTGTGATGAGAAATGAGGCTTTAAGAATGGAGAAACAATGCTTGTGACTGGAGCCAACAAACAAACAATACTAAACTAATCTCTGGCCAACAGATCAGGAGTATTGCAACTACTATAGACTCTTATTTCATCGAATCAGGCGCAAAACATGTCCAACCTGCCACTATTTAAAGCAAATAGAAGATCAAGAGAAAGAAAATAATATAAACTAATCAAGAAATGATCATAAATGTATTTGTCTATGAGACTGGGGAACCTAATATCTAACAAAAGCAAGCTTAAGTAGTTTTCAGCCTTGTGACTTGTAAAGTCTTAGACAACTATTAAGTCAGCTTAATATATTCTACTTACATACCACTTGAAATTGACCAATGAGAATTACAGTTAAATGAGCATAGAGCACTAATCTATACAAAAAAAAATTTATCCATTAAGAGCTCGTTTGTTAGCCTGGAAAAGACAAGATTGCAGCATTAATCCACCATTTATCCCGCGTTTGTTTACCTAGATTCCGGCCCGTAAGATAACTTGAAGCCCGCGATGTACAGTCTTTTTGTCATGGGAAACCGAGATTATTTGATCTCGCCTTTTAGGTAAGATTATTGTTGTCTTTACAGTATTAAATGTCTGAATTTACCAAAGTGACCCTAAAAGTAAATAATTTTGACCATATTAACCTCTGTCAAGTGAAATTTACATCTTCTGTCATTCACTAACAGTCACAAAAATCATTCACAATAGCAAAGACGGAGGCGTCGTTCCATTCACTAACAGTCACAAAAATCATTCACAATAACCAAAAAATTATTTTCTTCGAGATTTGGCCGCTGCTCACCGCAGTGAAAAGAAGAAAGCAACATGAAACAAAATCTAGAGGAATTTGTTGTTCTGTGCAAAAATTAATAATGGGAAGGTGAATTGATTTGTGACTTTGAGAAATTTTGTTTGTGATTTTAATGTGTTGCAGTGTGGGTGTGCAGAGAAAGGCAAAAAAAAAAAAAAATAATAATTAAAAAAAAAAACAAAGAGTGGAGTTTGGTGAACTTTGGTATCGGGTGTGTGAAGAAAAGACACCTGGCTTGATGAGAGCATTATTTGGTGTTGGGCATGAGAGTGGAATTTGGAATTTTGGTGCGTAATTTTCAATTCATTTAAAAATGAATTAATTGCCAAAAAAATCACGACCTTTCGTTTGAATCGTAAATTAATCTTCTTTTTTTCAATTTTATAAATAAATTTCAATTTTTATTAATTATTACTCCCTCCTATTTTTTATAAATGTCATTTTAGCTTTATCTACTATTTACTAAATAAATGTCGTTTTAGATCTTTTGTACATATTTTTCTATTATTACCCTCATTTAGACAATAAATATATTACGTCTTTTCATATTCACTCTTCACTTTTTTTCAAAACATTCATTTCTATCTTCATTAAATAAGGTTATTATTGACAAAAAAAATATTCTTAATTAGTGTGCAACTTCTCAAAACGACAAATATTAAAAATAGGAGGTAGTATAATTTTGTCTCAAAATTGAATTCCAGCCATCCGTCGCCACCGGTCGCCGCCTGTCTCTGGCCAACCTCGCCGGAATTGAAAATTTTTTACGTCATCGTGTAGCTCTCCTTCCGGGCGAAGTTCGTGTAAAAATTATGACAATAAGGGGTCCAATTTCTCGGTAAAAGCAAGTAGATTTATAAGTTTTATCCACCATTCTTTCGCAAATTTTCGGCGACTCGCTTTGACCCACACGAATCCGAAGGTACCTTTAAACTCCTCTCGCCGAGCAGCTTCTATTGACATTCACCATCGCCGGAAACAGTGACTTTTTCCGGCGATGAGTTTTTCGGTCATCTATTGACTGAGAAATTGGACCCCTTATTGTCGTAATTTTTCATGAACTTCGGATATGTTGTTGCCGGAAAGAGAGCTACACGATGACGTAAAATATTTTTAATTCCGGCAAGGTTGGCCGGAGACGGGCGCCGGCCGATGGCGGCGTATGGCCGGAATTCAATTTTGAGACAAAATTGCAATAATTAATAAAAGTTGAGATTTATTTACAAAATTGAAAAAGTTGAGATTACAATTCAACGTAAGATCGTGATTTTTTTGACAATTAACCCTTTAAAAATTACAGTATTTTCCATATTTCGTTTCTCCCAAAAAAAAAATTAAAACAGTGTTATATTAATTGTGAAAAAAAAAAGAGGCACGCAAAAAAAAACTCAACTTTTATATTTACTGTGAAAAAAAAAAACAAAGAGGCATGCATAAAAACCCAGCTTAAATACACACACATGGCCATTGAGAAATG